GGCTTATTTAATATATCATGATGAGTCTCGAGTTCAGTATTTACACTAAATCTGTGCAGATTTGGCTTACATGAACTTCCTCAAGAAATTAATTAGTAAACATAATTTACGAAAAGTAACCCGCCAAATTGGCTAGTGATTTGACAGCGTTACCCGCATTTGGCGGGTTGGCGGGTGTTAATTTCAAACCCTGTATATATATATATATGTAGTTTTTAAAATATATACTGTATATAATTTAAACAATTAGATAATATTAAAATGTCTAATATAATATGAAATATAAGCGATTCACATCACCAGTCAAAAGTTTGGAGTCAGTAAGATTTTTTGAAAGTCTCTTATGCTCACCAAGGCTAAATTTATTTTTCAAAAATACAGTAACTAATAAACACTAATACTGTGAAATATTATTACAATTTAAAGTATATCTTGCAATTTAGATTTTTTTTCTCAGAATTGCAAAAAAAGTGAGATAAGTTGCAATCACCTTTTTAATTCCATAGCTTTCTGTTTTCAATTATTTTAAAATGTAATTTATTCCAGTAATAACAAAGCAGAATTTTAAGCAGACATTACTCCAGTCTTTACATGATCATGAAGATTTCTTATTATCAATATTGAAAGAAAAACAAAAGAACAGCATTTATTTGAAATAGAAATCTTTTGCAACAATATAAATGTCTTTACTGGTACTTGTGATCAATTTAATATGCCCTTGCGTCAGAACAAATAAACAATTCTGAATGGCAGTCAATGAAAATACACGGAGCACAAAGTCCTCTTCAAGGATCTGGCGACATCCTGATACCGATCAATTTCATTCCATCTAGAGTGTGTCAGATAATATGCACCCATTTCTTAGCCACACAGCACATTCGCTCACAGAAACATACACAATACCCCACACACTCCCACCAGAGACACAGATGCACAGAGCGAGATAATGCAGACAGACAAACAGATAATGATCAGAACCGCTCACAACAGACACAAAATCTGACATAAAACCAGCAATCTGGCAACTCGGAACATGACATATCCAACCATCTGGAAAAGAAGCATCTGTCCGCGTGCACACACGCACAGAAAAAGGATCACGTTAACCACGGTCTTGTCATTCATGGCCTGCTCCTGGTTATCAGATGCCATCATGTGAATTTCTGCATGCGAGTGACGGATGCCTCGCCGCATGGCATTAGCTCCTTACAGTCGCTCGGAACAACACGGCAACACAATAACAACAGCTCTATGGAGATGGCTCAATGCAGCCTGCATTGCTGATCGCCCATTAGCACATTAGTGTCGGCAGGAACAATTACAGCAGATTTCCCTGTACTCTAAACAACCGTTGGAGTGGCATACATTCAGCCACTTGGATTTGCATAAGGGAAGGCGGTGGATCAGAGGTTAAACGCAGATGACAGATACAAACACATGAGGAAGTCCTCATTGAAGGTCAGTGGTCCTAATGTAGCTGCATGAAATCAGAGATTATTTGTAGGAAAGATGCACAAAACTGCATATTTTCCAAACTGTTTAGTTAATAGAACAACTAAACAACTATTGTAGAAGGCTGAGCAAACTCACTTCACCATGCGCAAAATATTGGAAGAAAATCTTAAATAGTGAATTGTGGGTGGGGGTTTATATGAATGTATCTCTGAGTGGAACTGACTGTCTTCAGAAAAGTTTAGATGGTATTTTCTTTTCATCTTACCTCCATATATATCCATGCATATTAATGTAGCATTTAAAAGCAGGTGCTTTGTTTACAGCAGTAACCAAGGAAACGCTGCATCACTGTTGTTCCATAAGTGCCACCTGCTGTCAGAGAGTGAATTTGCGTCTCATTCAGCCCGTCTGCTGTTTTTGATTCGTGCAGATGTTTTTAAGTAGCATAATTTCACAAAGCTACGGTCAAGACCATTCTGTTTTTGCTTTAAATTTTGAAATTATCCAATCTAATTTACATCAAAAACATGTAGCATGTTTGTTTGGATCGTGATTAAAATGCAGTGGTTCTGCAACTGTTTCATGGATTCTGATTCATATAAAGGCACTGTCAAGGAAAAAACTATGATAAACTGTGAAACTGTCAGAATCCTAAAGAAAACTGTGATACAGATTTTTGGTCAAACCGCCCAGCACAATGCCCAATTAAATAATTAAATGAATAATAATTAAGACCATAAAATAATGAAAATTATTAATAAACTTTATAAATAATGAAAAATAAATATTATAAAAAAACCATTATAGAAAGGAAAAATGAGGTAGATAACCTGACCTCACTACTGCATCCATGCGTCTTGAGACATCCATAATTTTTTGCTTTTATATTTTTAAGTTTTATTTATACAAAGATTTCCTGGGGTAGGATGTGATACCTTGACATCTGTGAATTTCGTCATGAGGATGTCAGCCGTTGTGGGGTGCAGGGCAGGAAGTTCATTGTACAAGTTTGGGAGGCACACCAGGGAGCCCAACAAGATCTGAGCCTCCACCCGTGGAGCCTGGGAGAAAGACAGAAAAAAAAAAGAGAAAGACAAAAGCAAGTTAAAGGCACATTGGATGTAACATTTGCAAACACATGTGCATAGATGTTAACGCATGTAGAGGCAGTGATATCTGAAAGCAGTTTGGTGGTTTCTCACATTGAGGGACGAGCAGGAAGTTACACGACTCGCTGCCACGATGAAGTCCAGGATGAGCATAGTGGCACCCGGAAGTCCAATAGAGAAGAAGCGTGGAGAGCAGTGCTTAATGATGGTGTTCACAATGTCCTGGGAGTCAAAGAGGAAGAGGTCAACAAAAGTTTTGTGCAAAGTTGTCAATCCACATGGTGACCAGGTACACACAAACACACCTGGTCTTGGTGAAGCAGGCCGCAGTGCATGATGTTGTAGAAGTGCGTAAGGAAGTCAGAGTTAGGTGAAACATCCTGTCTTCTCTTCATTATCTTACAGATGAGCTTATAGGCATGGAGTTTCCCCTGCTTATAGCGCTCGCCCAACATAGTGGCCTGCACACAGATAGCACAAAACCTTTATAAACAATTGATATATCGACAGACAGACAGACAGACAGACAGATAGATAGATAGATAGACAGACAGACAGAATGAACAAACAAACCTATTGATTGGACAGACAGACAGACAGACAGACAGACAGATAGATGCACAGAACTAATAAAGTATGCTAATAAAAAAAATAAAGTAATAGTCAACTATGATAAACAGTAAAGCGGATTTGCTCAAAATATTGATAAACTCACTTTGAAAAGCCAGGGAGTCAGAATCCGCAGAGGTGGAATCAGATCCGGCGGGGGTGGAGACGACTGGTTGTCAAGAGAGATCCCGAGATTGTCTCTGATCTAGAGAAACAGACAAAAAAAAAGAAACACAAGGACGTTTTTCAACTGGAATTTGATTAGTAATGGCACTGTAAATCATCCTTTCAGAGCACACTGAAGGACTCTGAATGTGTGTGTGTGTGTTCACCTTGGCCAGGTTCTGCCAGAGTTCACAGAGGTAGTCAAAGACCTGTGCGTGGATCTCGGGGTCCTTGATGGAGTTGACATCTCCCAGAATTCCTAGCATTCTCCTCCACATCACTGTGGCGACATCAGCATGCCAGCCGGTCAGAGTGCCGCCAGCCATCACACTGCAGTCCTCTGTCGGAAACTCACTGGTTTCTGCAAAGTGCAATCAAGCAGGCTCATTACAAAGATGGCAAAGATGCAACAGATATGGCGCTTTTCCACTGCATGGTACGGCACGGTACGGCTCGG